AAATTCTAATTTTATTACAAGAAAACCCTCCCTTCAGCGAGCCATTATAAAATATCTTAAACCAATCTACTCTTTTATAGAGGCTGAATATGTTTACCTTGAATCTAATCATCAAGTGACTAATAATGCATGTGGGTATTGTTAAATCACATCCAGACATTTGCTTTTCATTTCAAGGCATTTTACAGACTATTTTTAATCCCTCCTAAAAGGTCAGCAGTTTAGGCAATTAGCAAAAAGCACTGGAAGCTCACTTCTTCCAGTAGGAGTTCCAGCGTAAGACCTTACAAATTTAGGAGGGCTTGTAGACTGAAAATAAAACAAGCCCGGTCCTTAAGGTTCTTTTAGTCTATTCTATCAGATGTCAAAGTTGGAGATGTCAAAAGAGAACAGAAGATGATGCATCACACTGACCCGTTAGGAACTGAGTTGTGGCAGATCTTCCCAGGTGAGTACATCACTTCTTAAGCCCATCCTCACTGTTTCACTGTGAATCGGTCTTCACAGTGAAGGGAGGATCTCTGGGCAAAATGGCTCCTTGGCTGATTTCTTATCTGCCCTATAACTTTTCAAGGAATTCAGTAATTTTCTGTTAAAGGGTTCATTTTGTAGTTTATTCTGATACCCTGAAATAAAAATGTGGCCATGGAAGACTTTCCACAGGGCATATCTGGGGAACAAGGCAGCACTGGGAGGAGGTAAGGAGACAAGGAGCAGCACGTCCCCCAGCAGCCACACAGGGAGTCAGGCCAGTTGGAGCCCTGGTCCACCCTGGCCAGTCTGTTGGGAGCATGGTCAGTCAATGACTAATCTACGAGCGTCCCTGCCACTTGAAGCCAACAGGCTACAGGTAAAGGTATTGCCCTAACTGACCCACAGCAAGATGATGGCAGGACCAGGCTCAGAGTGAACATCGGCTACAATGAGAAGCATGACTTTCACATCTTTCCATAGCAGAGGTGTCGTGAGCCAGCTCTCCAACACCTGGCTGGCCTTGTTGAAGACACCAGAGGAGTTCTCTTGCCTTTCTGCAAACGATCTTTAAGGGAAAATCCTTGAAGGCTATGCAGCAGCCCTTGTCAGGACTTGGAATGCAGAATGGCTGCTGGGTCATGATAACTGAGACAAAGGGGGAAGGGGTTGACTTAAAAAAGATGAATGATATAGAGAAGTGTGTGGAGAAGACGGCTGACCAAAGAGCTCCTGGTTCAGCAGGATTTTCTGGCCAGGGAACTGTAATGTGAAACCCTCTGCAAACTTGACAGGGGAGGAAGCAATGCCTGAACAACTGGAGGAGATATTTATAAGTCAGTAATGCCAGAAAATTTCAAAAACAGAAGACAGAAAGGAAGGGACTGGGAAAAAAGGTTCCAGTGTTCCTAGCTGACCATGACCGACACCACAGAGCACAGCGCCTGTCGGAAGGCGGAAAGGCTGCAGCCCAGGAGCTTCGCTGGCCGCGTGGAGACAGGCCCCGATGCCCCAAGCAGCAAGTGCCTCCAGCCTTCTCCTCCCTCAGACAGTTGCTGGTTAACAGTTGGCCGCCTGCCACTTTGACATTCCTATGCCTGTTTCCCACAAAAAGGCATTGTCTTTGAAAACACACAAAGCTCCTGCCAGTTTTTCAGTCTCTGTGTGGCTACCCTGTACATTAGCTTCGTCTTGTTTAGAGGAGGCCTTCCCTGCCCACATTACTCTAGCTCTGTTGACCTCGGGGGCATTTCTGAGCACAAGTGAGACCTGATGTGTCCTTGGTACACAAGCCCAATTTATAGGCTTTGCAGTCATCAGACACAACAGGGCCATTTGTCCCCCTGTAATACTATAGCTCCCTAAATGGAAAACCAAAATCACCAGGAAGTAGGGTCCAGCCAAAGGAGGGGAACAATGGCTCAAGAAAGGGTGTTTGGCACTAATGTTACTCAAGCATCCTTCCCTGGGACCTGTTTCACGTGCAGTTGGCTGGATTACTGGCTCAGAGAGCCTGCCCAGTAGGAAGCCACAGGAGCTCAGGGGGGCATTCCCAGGTGGGGCCTGTGGACAGTGCTTAAACCTCGTCTCCAAACAGATTTCTGTAAAGCTGAACCCAGAGCCGCATGAATCTCTGCTTGAAATCTGGCAAGAAGTATGTTTGGGTAAGGGAGAGAAGAGAGCCAGCATGGGAAAATCAGGCAAGTGCTAAAGCCAACCAAATATTTCTTAGGAGAGATACAGGCTTCTTTCAGTGGCACTTCTGTTACTTATTTTTCTGACTTGCACTTTCTTTAAGGGCATTTCATTTCTTTTGTAACTTATTTTTTTTCCTTGTTACTAAAAAGGAACCGATTTTGAACATGAGTTAACAAGCAGAAGAGTATATATGTATATTTGTTAAGTACAGAAAGAATGCCTTGTATTTTATTTTAGTAAGGTCACGAGTGGCCCCGAGTGGGCACAGCCTTTATGGTATGCCTTCAGACTGAGTACAGCAGCCACCATGCTTCACCCAGTGCTCAGAGAGACCAGCTCCTTATGTACCAACTCTGAGGCAGGTCTTGGAAGGCAAAGAAGGGATTCCACTGAAGTCAAGATTTTAAGACTAGAAGGGTTGGGGCCAGCAAAAGTAGTAGAGGCGAAGTGTGAACATGTGAATCAGACTCCAGGCCCAATCTCTGCCCTTCTTCTCCTGCTTCAGAGGAGCTCAATTTTTCTGAATTTATCTATTAGCTGTGCAACCTCAGAAGTACAGCACCTGCCTCCTGCAGTTGATGAAGCAAAGTGATTTGATTAGAGGCAAATGCTCCTAGCACAGTGTGCCACACACAGTTGATGCTCAGAAAATGTCAGCCATTATTTTGTGTGGGTTCCACATTACAGTTTGTTAGAAGTAGGCTTTGAAGTCACTGTTTTGAACCATCTCCCTCATTTAAAAAAAACTGAAAAATAACTTTGTTAAAATATGCAAATACAAAAAGTATGTTTTAAAAACTCCCTAAATGCATTTGTGTAAGAAAAACTCAAACAAAATACCAGAGTCAAATGGAAAAAAAAAAATCTTTGCTTCTCCATGTATTTTCCCTCCAATTTCCTTCCCCAGAGGCACCAACTCCTATCATTTCCAGACCTTTTTCTTCCATATACACATGCTTTTTGCTTTTCTACAAAATGGAATTACACTATGTGTAGTGGGCTGCAGCTTCTATTTTGTACTTAACAATGTATCTGAGTTTTTTTCTGTGATAGCACATCTAGATGTATCCCCATGGTACCTACCACTTCTAAACTGTTATTCACTACCCCCACAGTATGGATATACTGTATTCTATTTACCATTCTTGAATGATAGAATCTCCAATTTTTTTGATTTTAAGGCTGCAGTTCACCTCTTTCTTGGTACATCTTCCTCTACATGTGTGGACTTTTTAGTAGACTTCATATCTAGATGTGTAACTGCTGCCTCACAGGGCATACATATTTAAATTTTTGATACATAACAACAACTTTGCTCTCCAAAAAGGCTGTGCCAGTTCGTATACAAGCACTATAATCCTGTATTGTTAGTCTTGTAATTTTTTGCCAACCTGATTAAAGAAAATAAGCATCCTGTTCTATTTTTCTCATGTGTATTAGTCAACCATATTTATTCAGTGAATTTCCTGCTAGACCCTGTATTCATTTTTCAAGTGGGTTACTTGTCTTTTTCTTACTGATTTTTAACAATTCTTTATGTATGCTAGATAGCAATCATTTGTCTTATATTCTTATATATCTTAAACTATTTTTTCCTAGTTTGTTGTTTATCCCTTAATTATGTTTATGGTCTTTATTTCCAAACAGAATTTTGTTCTTTATATGTTGTCAAATCTTTCAGTACTTCTCTTTATGGCTTTTGGGTTTTATGTCTTGTTTATTTCCCCTCATACTCTGTTATTTACTCTGTTATTTATGAATGGTCTATTCCTTTTGTTCACCAGAGAAATTTGTTCACTGAGTTACAGCAGAGTCAGGACTGGACCACAAGTCTATCTTTACTGTTGGCCGAAGGATTTTCCCACTAAATCACATCGCTTCTATGTTGTTACCAGCAGTTAAAAAAAAAAGTCCCATTTTCAAGGAATCCAAAAGGTATGACTCTCTCAACTTTGTGTTCTTTCCCCCCTTTTTCTCCCCTTCCCTCTTCATTCTTGCCTACCCACACAAATTTTGTGTATTCTTTTGCATGACTAGGAAGAAGAGACGAGTCTTCTTGCAGTCAAGGAGCTCAAGGTGTGTGTGTGTCTCTGTGTGTGTGCACGTGTGTGTGCGTGCGTGCGTGCGTGTGTGTGTGTGTGTGTGTAGAATTTGGTCTCCCCATGGCTGGAAATCTGATGAATACATACTGATGTGTTAGCAGGGAGCCTGGGTTTCCAAAAGACGTTTTTACACAGACGCTTTGGACCTAGTCTCTGATTACAGACATTAAGTGATTTTTAACCAACATCATATTCCACCCTTCCAATGGAGGCGGCACAGTCCTCAGTCTGTCATACACTAGAGCTTTAAGCTTTTGGTATCTCTCTGACATGCAGCTCTGTATACCTGGTTTTGAAGTATATAAAGATATATTGACTTGGTTTGCTCACCAGAAACATTAAGAAAACAAACTCTAAATAAAAACATATCCTCACGGTAATAAAACTCAGTAGATGATAAAGTAGTAAGGTATTTGTAATTGAATAAATGGGGCCTCTGTAACACAGAATTACTAGTCTCTAAAATGGGGCCAATATTTAGGGCATTAAAAACAAGACAGGATATTTTAAAAACATGAAAGAAGAGGACATTCTAAAAACATGGAAGTACTGCATACTGGACAAACAACGAATTGATACCGAGTACTCATATGAATTCAGCAAAATCCCTGGAATGGGGGTTTAACCACTTGAGTCAATGGATGGAACCACTGTATTGTAAAGACTGGGTGATGCCCGACCTGCCAACCCACCAACTTCACGTTCCAGCCTCCACTAAGAAGGTCTTACCAGAGTTCCATCTGTCAGGGTGCAGCCGGAGAAGCGTTTTGCAAGAAACCCCTCAAAGTTAGTTGTTCTCTGAATAGCAAAAAGAAGCAATTTCACTTCAATTTCCTTAGCTCTGGTCCGCATAATCTTGGCAAGTTCTGTCCTTCAAAATAAAGAGATAAGAATGTTGTCAAACAAAGTGATCATTCAAGATTAAACAAAGTAGATAGTGTTAACTTATATATAGTTTTAATTTCAAATACTGAGGTTTGTTACCAACTGAGTGTAATGGTTGGGCAATAGAACTGTTAACTGCTAAGATTTTTAAGGTGCAATTACTCACCAGTCAAGAAAGAAATCAAGGATTAAGGACACCAGTTTCTTTACATGGATACTACTGTTTTTTTGTTTTCTTGTTATCATTAATCTACAATTACATGAAGAACATTATGTTTACTAGGCTCCCCCCTTCACCAAGTCCCCCCCACAAACCCCATTACAATCACTATCTATCAGAGTAGTAAGATGCTGTAGATTCACTACTTGTCTTCTCTGTGTTGCACAGCCCCCCCGAGACCCCCCCCCCCATTATACGTGCTAATCGTAATGCCCCCTTTCTTTGTCCCGGCACTTATCCCTCCCTTCCCACCCATCCTCCCCAGTCCCTTTCCCTTTGGTAACTGTTAGTCCATTCTTGGGTTCTGTGATTCTGCTGCCGTTTTGTTCCTTCAGTTTTTCTTTGTTCTTATACTCCACATATGAGTGAAATCATTTGGTACTTGTCTTTTTCCGCCTGGCTAATTTCACTGAGCATAATACCCTCTAGCTCCATCCATGTTGTTGTAAATCATAGGATCTGTTTTCTTCTTATGGCTGAATGATATTCCATTGTGTATATGTACCATATCTTCTTTATCCATTCATCTACCGATGGACACTTAGGTTGCTTCCATTTCTTGGCTATTGTACATACTGCTGCGATAAACATAGGGGTGCATCTATCTTTTTCAAACTGGGCTGCTGCATTCTTAGGGTAAATTCCTAGAAGTGGAATTCCTGGGTTAAATGGTATGTCTATTTTGAGTTTTTTGAGGAACCTCCATACTGCTTTCCACAATGCTTGAACTAATTTACATTCCCACCAGTAGTGTAGGAGGGTTCCCCTTTCTCCACAACCGCATCAACATTTGTTGTTTGTCTTTTGGATGGTGATGGTCCTTACTGGTATGAGGTGATATCTCACTGTGGTTTTAATTTGCATTTCTCTGATGACTAGCGATGTGGAGCATCTTTTCATGTGTCTGTTGGCCATCTGAATTTCTTCTTTGAAGAACTGTCTGTTCAGCTCCTCTGCCTATTTTTTAATTGGATTATTTGCTTTTTGTTTGTTGAGGTGCATGAGCTCTTTATATATTTTGGATGTCAACCCTTTATCAGATCTTTCATTTATGAATATGTTCTCCCATACTGTAGGGCACCATTTTATTCTATTGATGGTATCCTTTGCTGTACAGAAGCTTTTCAGCTTGATATAGTCCCACTTGTTCATTTTTGCTTTTGTTTCCCTTGCCCAGGGACATATGTTCATAAAGAAGTCACTCATGTTTATGTCCAAGAGATTTTTGCCTATGTTTTTTTCTAAGAGTTTTATGGTTTCATGACTTATATTCAGGTCTTTGATCCATTTCGAATTTTTCTTTTGTATATGGGGTTAGACAGTGATCCAGTTTCATTCTCTTGCATGTAGCTGTCCAGTTTTGCCAGCACCACCTGTTGAAGAGACTGTCATTTCCTCATTGTATGTCCATGGCTCCTTTATTGTATATTAATTGACCATATATGTTTGGGTTAATGTCTGGAGTCTCTATTCTGTTCCACTGGTCTGTGGCTCTGTTCTTGTGCCAGTACCAAATTGTCTTGATTACTATGGATTTGTAGTAGAGCTTGAAGTTGGGGAGAGAGATCCCCCCCCACTTTATTTTTCCTTCTCAGGATTGCCTTGGCTATTTGGGGTTTTTAGTGTTTCCATATGAACTATTTGTTCCAGTTCGTTGAAAAATGTTGTTGGTAATTTGATAGGGATTGCATCCTATCTGTATATTGCTTTGGAAAGGATGGCCATTTTGACAATATTAATTCTTCGTAGCCAAGAGCATGGGATGAGTTTCCATTTGTTAGTGTCCTCTTTAATTTCTCTTCAGAGGGTCTTGCAGTTTTCAGGGTATATGTCTTTCACTTCCTTGGTTAGGTTTATTCCTAGGTATTTTATTCTTTTTGATGCTATTGTGAATGGAATTGCTTTCCTGATTTCTCTTTCTATTAGTTCATTGTTAGTGTGTAGGAAAGCCACAGATTTCTGTGTGTTAATTTTGTTTCCTGCAACTTTGCTGAATTCCGATATTAGTTCTAGTAGTTTTGGAGTGGAATCTTTAGGGTGTTTTATGTACAATATCATGTCATCTGCAAATAGTGACAGTTTGACTT